CTCGCCGCGGCGGACCCGCGGCTTGGAGGGAGGAAGGTTGGCTTTTAGTGTCTTGCTGCCTCTAATCTGCCTTTAAGTAGTCTCCGCTTGCGTCACTGACAGGTTGGTGGAGAGCAGCCAAAAGCAGCGCTCGGATTTTGTCATTTTTATTATTCCGGTGAATATAAATAAAGAAATGCAATAAAATAAATGAAATTAATAGAGGAGGAGGAGGAGGAGGAGGAAGGGTGGAGGAGGAGCTGCCCCAGCTAGCGCAGGGCTCGCCGTGCAACTGTGCCTCCTTCCCTGAGCACCCCGGCAGGGCACCCGCCGCCTCCTGCTGCCGCGCACACCCGGCGCCCGGCCGGCCCTGGGGGGGGCAGCTCCACCGGGCTGCTGGTTTGAAAAGCTGCTGCTCTAGGGCGTGACCGGGACACCGGGGCCCCTCCAGCCACAAATGCCCAGCTGCTGGGGCGGGGAGTCCCAAGAGTTTCTAGGCTTTGCCACTGCTTTCTGTGTCTCGCAAAACAACGGTGTCATACAGCAATAACCTTACCTGTTAGAACTGCTTACCCTTTGAAGATATTGTACTTAAAACTGCATCTTTACTTTCCCCAATTACAGATGTAAGAACCATTGAGGATAAATTAAATGTATTAATAGCCATTTCAGAGATGGCTGAGACTGGGCTCGAATATGTACTAGGAAAGACACAAAACCTTCACACAAAGCATCTCTAAACAGCACAAGAAAAAAAAAATTGTATGTCAAATAAATCCCCCTATTATAATCAGTCCACATATTTTATTCCCATAAACTACTACACTATGTTAAAAATATTTTTTATTTTTCAGATACCCCTAGACACTGTACCTTAAACACCACCAAACAATTCCACACAGAACAGTGGCACCAATCAGAATCTGTTCTCTGGTGGAGAAGCATAAAATGTATTCTGTGTATTTCCATAAAGATGAAGTATAGCTTCATACCTGCTGTTCTTTTGGCTCAAGTAATCCTATTAACAAGCAATGTAGGAAAAATTCTAGTCATTCTGATCATAATGCTTCTACTGCCAAATTCAGTAAAATCACTATCTCAAAAGCAGAACTGCTCAGGCTGTTGTTACAATGTAGTCCCTTGGTTTACTTCTAGCTCTTTCATGAGCAGTTCTGTCTGGTATTAATGCTGCTATGTGTTTTCTGAATAGATTGGACCAAGCTTCATCTGTGTAGAGGACATCTGTATGTTTTAGACACCCCAAGGTTTGTTGTCTTTTCATTTGGAGTGTGCAGATGGTCTCTGATTCACATGATATTGGGTCAGTTGCCAGATTGGATCCCCAAATCTTTGAATTAGTGAAGGATCAAATAAGAAGATCAGTGTATGTCTCTGTTTACAAAGAAATTGGTATCTATTTCTCCTCTCCCAATCAAAAATCTGTGGAGAAACATTCAATTATCTGGATTGTTTCCTTCCCCCACTGTTGGGAATTACTGGGAAAACTGAATAATCACTGTCTTTTCCTTAATATCTGACTTCATTCTTCTTGAAAGATGGTTCTAACAATTCCTGCATTTTTTTGTGGGATTTTTTGCATGTCATTTGTAAAACCTGCTGCTGCAGCAACACTAACTAAAATGAAGAGATTGTTTCTTTCATTTTAAAAGGACTGTAGTAGTGGTACAACTACTCAGATAACTGCATGTCTCATAAGGACTCCAAAGTATGTTTGCAGGTAGACCTGAAAATGAGTGAAATCAAAGCAGCAGAGGAAGCAGTAATGTATGTGTAGAAGGAGAGAGGGCAGGGAATGTGCTAAGAAGCTAATGATGATAATCCTATTTAGTAATCCAAACAGAGAGGGAAAGCCCATGATTGAAATTACTGAAGAGATTTGGGTTCACAGACAAATTTAAAAATTTCTACAAAGGTTAGCATTGGGATAGAAATCCCACTTATCTGAGCTTTTAGGAGCAGTAAGTATAAAGAAATTGAATTCTAATCATATCAGTCAATGGTCTATCAAAGAACACTGAAGCAGTGTTTGTGGTGTGTGCTGGGTTCTACTTAACACTGGCAACCCAGCTGTGGAAACTTGCAGGGGAAATATCATAAATGAATGCTACGAATATGTAAGCACTGTTACAAAATTTGTTTTCATTTAAAAATAGTTTAAAGTTAAATAATTTCAGGCCTGTTCTTAAAAGAGTTACATCTTATTCCAAAGTAGCTGACTTCTTTTTTAAACTAGCATTACATGCTTTCCCCCAACCATATTCACGTGCAGGATACGTGGCCCTAGACCTAAGAAATGTTACTGAGCTTCAGACCTTAGTGAGTTTGGGAAAAAATACAATTTCATCTTGAGAGTTTCTATCAGAATGTCAATATGCATTTTAAGTGATTGGAAAAATCAAAGGAGTTTGATATATCTCAAACTCACATGTAGAATTTCTGGAACTATGAATTTATGTCCTTAATTGGAGCTCTGATTTATTGTAAAAATACAAGCAACAAGAACCAATGACCATATTCTCTGAGTGCTTAGAACAACAGTAAAAGGTGTATGAAGACTGTAATAATTTGCATTTCCATGATCCATTACATGTGTAGCAGCAACCTGTGGACTTACCTAAAAAATTGTCTAAATCACAAAGTGCTCACACTATGTATAGTCCTGACTGTAATAGAGAGTTGTAGACATAAGAAGATTTTCAGCTTCTAAAGGTTCATCTTAGGTTTTACACTGTTCCTCTGAATGTTTCAGCCTTTGGTAAAGCCAGGATTTGCAGAGCAGCAAGCTGCCAAGAATGCTGTGGATGTATATTGCACAGTGTATGCTATTTGCATTAGAAAACCATGCCTATATTTCATTCACAAGCATTCAGCATTAGCAAAGCTTTGTGTCTCAGTTTACAAATAATCGTTTCTGAATGAAGCAGTAATACCAGTTTGCATCAGGGCCAGGCTGGTCCTATTCAGCAATTGCGTACAAAGGAAACAAAATCAGCTTCCCACTCCACACATAGGCTTTTGGAGAGGAGGGTGTATTTTTGTTTGTTTTGCTTTACATTCAAAGAGAATGAGCATTCCTCTATGGACAAAATTCTTTATAAACTCTGTTGTTCCTAATAGGATCTTGAACAAGTTTTGCATAAGGAATATTTCAGAGTCTGCCGCTGCTGCCTTATTAATTCATGACAAAATAATATTGACCGGGTTGATCTTGGATTAGGTCTGAAGAATGAGACTGTATATGTCCTCAGTTTGATGCCAAACTGAGGTTAATCTGTCGCTAAGAAGCTGTAGGCTGGAGTCTAAAAGATGCAGCCCTTTTGCCCCTTTTGTAAAGGATGCAGAGAAGAATCAAATCCCTCAGGCTGCACATTCCTCAAGTATGGAGCTGGTCATGCTGGGAGCAGACCTGACACATTTGGCTCTCCTGTCAGACCCCCTGCAGCCTGGGCATGGATGGCATGATCTGTGCGGGATGAAGAAGCCACATGGCTAGTGCCATACCTGCTGTCAGGCAGTGTGCTAAACAGTGGTATTCCCCTGCTTTGTTATTTTCTATGCTGAGGGTTACTGATGTAAAAAAATAATTCCGATATTACAGAATTCTTTCCCACACACTGCCTCCTTTTAAATTATACATCCATCCTAAACTTATTCCAAATATTTTATTTTAAAATAAAGATGCATATTTTTAGTAATATCTTGATGACTTCTCTCAAGGTTCTTTTTTTGGCGGTTGTTCACAGTGGGTCCATAATTGCAGCAAATAAATATGTGCCATATGTAGAATCCAAAACTATATGACAAATTCTTGCATTTCATTATTAAATTGAAAACCACTGTTTTCCATCAATTGTAGCAAACTTGGAGGGAAAAAAAAAAAAAAAAAAAAAAACACCTTTTAATAAAAATCTTAAGCTATTACTAAAGAAAATAGTG